TATGACACATCTCTATCACCCTCGTTCATGCTTCTTGACGCATGTGCAGATCTTGGACGACTAACCGGACGTCTTCCATTATTTACTGTAGTCGGAATCCCGTTCTGTCGGATATTCGCAGTTTGCTGTTTCTTCTTGGCATCCAGGAAAATCTTCTTGAAAGATTCGCACAGTGCTTCGTTGGTCTCTTTGTATTTCCACACCAGCTGCAGAGCTTTCTTGTACCATTGCAAACTCGCTTCACCTCGTCCATTAAATTCCAGCTCCACTGCCAAGTTGTGGTACGCTACAGCGAGTGAGATAATCTTCTCTTCACGAGTCTTCGGATCTAATGCATCCTGATCTCTATCGTCTTCGTCTCGAGCCCCATCTTCGAGACTCACGAGCTCTTCTTGGGTATGGAAAATCGCAGCTTGTGCGTGTTCCAGTGCCAGATCGTGTCGGCCAAGTTGAGACTGAATCGCGCATAAGTTGAGGTGGGTAATGGATAGATTTTTCACGTGGGCTGACCCAGATCCGATCTGAGCAGCCTCTTTCAGATATTTTAGCGCAGATTTCAACTTGCCTAGCTTCCGATAGCAACAGCCAATGTTGTTAAATGTTAGAATCTGCAAAGCCTGGCATCGCTTAAAGTTTCCCGGTGCCACGATAGCCTCAGCCTTCCGTAACATAGCTAAACACTGATCAAATTGTCCTTGTGCGAGGTACTGCATGGCAACGGAATTGTAACTTAACATGACCTCGTTCAGTGCTTTATAAACCGCTGAACTATCCACACCGAACATGCGTCGCTTTAGCCACAAACTTTGCTCTAGGCATCCCAGGGCCTCCAAATCCATTTTTTTCTGCTTCAAACATGCCACCGTCGAGTTCAACATCTCCAATAAACTCTGATCACTATCGTGGTTTGACTTGCGGTCCAGATGAGCTCGAAGTTTACTTGGGGAGAAGTTTAATTCAGAAAAATCTCGAGAAGTCTTGTGCGATGGATTTCTCTTCGCTGAACGTGGTCGTGGTGGTGTCTCGTGCACATCATGACGGTGGAAATGACTCATTGACTTTAGTGTCTTGAAATCGGCTTGTAAGGACGACAAGATTGGAAATAGCGAGGATAATCCTATAGCGATCCCAATTCTTCATTTTTATCCCAACGAGTAGCTATTTTCCTGCGACGGTTTCAGAAATGAGCACGAAACCACCGTCAATTGAGAACATTTGGGTCATTCTAATGACAAAACAAGTATTTATCAAAAAAACATCCATTCTCTACACAAAAGCTCGCTTTCTGCTTGGCCATCGTCTTTATTCCCTAGGGTCTTGAAGCTATGCATCTTGAGGTCGGTATTTCTTGAGTTGCAGCTCTAAAGACTTGATGTGTTTCTTCATTTGAGCGATCTCTTGCGCCTGACTCGCCACAACTTTAAGCAAATCCTGCTTCTCTCCTTCCAGGCGCGCAGTCATTTGCTTGTACATGTCCGAGAGCTTTAACGAGTCGTCCAGCGTTGACAGCATCGACATCCGACTTGGCGCAATACTAGGAGCATTGGACATGGCATCATCCTCACGTTTGCCAGTAGGGAACTTCATGTTTCGGACGTCCAGTCCAGGCTTCAGTGGGGACTTTGCGGGTGCAGCCATTTTCATCGACCCGAAAGCAGATGCTAGATGGTCCTCAGGCTTCATCACTGGCGACGCCGGGACGGGCATTTGAGGCTTCAGTTTAGGAGATGAGGCGTTAATCATTGGCGAGGGCGGTGATGCTACAGGTGGCTTCATAGGCGAAGGAGGAATGTTGGTCTGAGATTTCGCTGGTGAAGGAGGGACTTGATGCTGAGGTTTAGGCGGAGAGGGCGACACATGATTCTGGGGCTTGGGTAGCGTAGCCTGGAAGGGAGACGGTGCCTCTCCACCAAATAAACTGCTGGCACTTGAAGGTTCGCTGGCAAATAATTCTTGTGCTTGAACAGGCTGAGGCTGTGTAGATTGTGCCCAATTTCCGTTGTTTGTGGGTGCAGGAGACGCGAATAAGCTGTCAGCAGTTTGGTATCCATTATTGGGTGGGGCAGGAGAGTGAAATGAACTGCTACCGGGATGAGAAGACGAAGCAAATGGGTCCACTGGTGCGCTTGGTTGCTGTTGCGGTGCCTGTTGCTGTTGCTGCTGCTGCTGCTGCTGCTGTTGCTGTTGGTAGCCATTGCCTTTAGGAGGTTGAACAGCGAATGGGTCGTGGGCTGCTCCATTGCCAAACACATTTCTGTTCTCCTGTGCAGCGAATGGGTCCTTCTGAGGCGCGTGTCCAAACATGGCTCCTCCATTTTGGGTCGGCGAAGCAGCAAACGGGTCCTTTGGAGGCGTTGTAGCATTCCCGAACATGGCTGCATTCCCCGTAGCGGGTTTAAAGGGGCTGGTTGTAGAATTCGACTGGCGCCTGTACGGGTTGTCTCCGGACAACTTCTGGGCCGGAGGTGGGCCGCTAGCGAACAGCTCAGAGGCTGAGCCTGGTGTCTGCTGTCTGTTTCCCTCTCTACTGCTAGGTGGTCCACGACCCCACGGCTGTTGGCTGCTATCGGCGTTGAGGTCCACGGTCTCGTACATGGCTCCAGTGGACTGCGACGTGAGCGGGATTTCCTCAAATCCGCTGGGAGGCTGAGGTGGTTGGTAGTAGAACGGACCGCCGGGCGCCGCGCGTTGATACGATCCACGGTTGCCAGCATGATAGGAGCCCCCAGACGACTGTGGAGGCGCCGGGATGGGCGGCCGCGCCGCTCGGGGGCCCTGGGACCCGCCCGAGTCGACGAAGTGCTGCAGCAGCCGGTTCATGTCGAGGAATTCGAATGGGGCAGCCGAAAATGGGTAGGTTTTAAAATGGATACATGAATGAAAATAGGTATTAATACCTGCTTTCTATTTCTCAAAGTGTACCGTACCCTTTTTGAAAATGCAAAATGGGTACGCGAAGTCGAACTCTCAAGTACTTGCCCGGCCACGAGCTGCGCTTCGGCATTGCGGCAGTGTCGCGAGATCCAGCGACCGGAGACGTGGACGAAGCTGTTTGTCTGTTCTGTAAGCACTTTGGGCGGGAGCAACGCGCTGACAAGAAACGCAAGAGCGCGAGTACCGTGAAATACTTCCGAGACTCCTTTCGGCCAGACCAATATACACAGCACCATCAGCTACAGCACCCGACTCAATGGACGAAGTACAAAGGGGCTAGTAGCGACGAAAAGCGCAGGTTCTTCCCTCAGACCAAAGCAGGAGAAAGTACTCTTACTACCGCAAATAGTAGTACTACTACCAACGTGCTGATACCCAATGTACAGGAGCGAGGGCGCTGCTTCGACGTCAAGGCGGCCATTGTGGAGGTTGTGGCGGTGTTAGCAGTGGGTTTGGGACCTATAGAACCCACAGTACAAACGAGAGATCGACTGGTGTATCAATATATGACCCACCATAACTATGAAGGAGAGCTGCCGTCCAACTGTCCACGATGGTCTCCACCCGCCGATACGTTCGAGAGCTGCTATGTGGTGCAAAGGGATCCGCCAGTGTATCGTGTTGTATTATACTCTAAAACCCAATTGGATGTTTTAATGGAGATGGCGGCGGGAGGGTTATCAGGAGCTCAAATATCGGCTTCGGTGAAGACTTTTCGCCATCATGCACCCATGTTGTTAAGGGATTTAGTGGAGAATACTAACAAGAGCGGACCCATGTCAAAGAAAAATGTAGCCATGGCCGTGGAGAGAGAGGAAGAGAAGGTTAAAGAGATATTTCGAGTGGAAGATGTGACTCCAGAGTACAGTGAAGCTCAGACGGCAGAGTTTGTCAGACTGGGCGTCGCCGCGAGTTTGAGTATCATTGCGAGATTACTGGAAGACTCGTGGGTATTCTCGTTAGAGCTCTGCACTGTGGCTCAGCATCCGATGTTCTCGTATCTGGATATACGCGTTAGATTTTACAGTCGGATAGGAGGATTACGAAGTGCCCATTTGTTGGCGATCCCCAAGTATGTTGGCAAGTGTGACATTATGATGTTCCAGACTCTGGATCGTGTGCTTACTGCGTTACTGCCCGATTGGAAGAAGAGATTATTGGGTATTATTACTACCGGAGATATCCCCTTTCCAGCGCGTATAAGCGAAGTCATTAAGCATTTCCAGAACGAGACAAAAGGGTCGGCGCTGTACCGCACATCAAACTGCATCAGCCAACTTCAACACGCTCTACAGACATTTTACGCATCAATTGACAGTGGGTTTTTCCTCCAGACGCTGAGAAAACTGAGTCAGTATGTTCGTAAAGACCCTCGCGTTTTGTCGGAGATGAAGAGACTGCCAGGATACTGGGAACAATTTGACTCTAAAGTGCATTGTGCTTCTAGTACTCCTGTGGCATTTGGACAAGAGATCGATATGCTTGTGGCCCACAGTGGATTTCTTCAAGAACACTTGAAAGAATTCACGGCAACAACGTTGAGGATTCCTGTATCTTGGTGGTTGGAGCTCCAAGCCTTACAATGGGTAACTGCTCGTGCCAATGCCGTCTTCGGGGTGTTGCAGAAACAACATGTGACCATTTCTCAGCAAGCAACAGTTATGGCCAGCTTGGCAGAAGAATACATCACTGGTTTCCACGCTCAGATCCACGAGAACAGAAACTCAGTGTCTCAAACAACCTCCACCGAGTACATTTCTCTAGACAAAAGGGTTAGTTTGTCTAAAACGAACTTGGTACAGTTCGTTGTGAGCTCCAGTGAACTTGCACGCGAATTGTTGAAGCACGGAGGTAGTGAAACCATCACAGCCACCGCCGAACACTTTGCTTCTGGTGTTGTGAATATGATCGCGTCGCTGGTCGAACTCAGTGTCAGTCTAAAGCAACAATCTGCTGCTTGCAACGTCGACACTCGTACCAATCAAAGTACCGTCGTGGAGGATGTACTGCCCCCAATTATGCCACACGAGTTGGCACAGCTTAGCTCGGACGAGTTTGATGAGCTGCTGGAAGCACATGATGCAACATCGCGGACTCTCGATGATAGTGATGCTCAGGCTATTCGAGAAGAGCATGAATTACTATGCTGCACATTTGCCAAGGACGAAACTCTTCGGAGGGCTTTAGAAATGCATACGCAAGGCACATTTGACGCGGCTTGGAGTCTGATGGATGCCCGTTTTAAGTCTCTTGAAGCCTTTGCCGGTGGACTCGCGACGGTGTGTCCGTCAAATGTTATTCCATTAAGCGACACAAAAGCTGAAGATCTGGTGCTTTGTCCGAAAGATATGGAGGAAGCAAGATTATTACTCGCAGACTTTGAGCTGGAAAGCACTCTGCATGCACAACAGTTCCTGCCACTCACGAAGCTACAGGAAGAAATTTACGACCGTGTAATCGCTGAAAGGCGAACTCGAAAGCGATATAAAGCAACGACAAACACAAGCTAGAATTTAGATCAAATACCAGCCACACGACCAGTCACTTCAACTTGATGTGTGTCAAATATCCGAATCTTTGGTGCGATCTTTGACGCCACTGCTTTGGATCCAAGTCAAAGTCTCCATTCACTTCTCAACGAACAGTCTCAAGATGCAGTTCTTCGCGACATCTAAGGACAGTCTGGTTGCGGCTGCGTTGGAGGCCTCTATGCGCTCGGTCAGACTGTGCAACGCAAATGCCAATACCTTCAATATAGACGAACACCAGGTAAGTAGCGCAAGTCTCTTTGTCATGACAGACATCTGACCTTGACTTCGTATTTTTGATAGCGTTGGTGTGCCGACAGTGTGAAAGACCGTGTGGTGCTGAAGGTGAGTGCGCCTGAAGCTCGAGGCTCGTATCTCCAGAAACACACGACGTATCTTGTGACTCAAGAGTCTCACCAAGAGGGCGTCCGTCGTCGCTTCCGGGACTTTGAGTGGCTTCACGTGGTGTTGCGTACTCGCTATGTGGGTCTCTTAATACCGCCCCTTCCAGAGAAGACGACAACGGCAGCCGTACTCAAGACCAATGCGTTCATGCAGAGTCGCATGCGCGGACTGCAGCGCTTTCTGAACGGTATCATGCAGTCTCCGTATCTGCGCTCGGACGCAGCGGTTGCGAGTTTCTTGAGTGAACCAGGCGACGAAGCGACTTGGGAGACGATGAAGAAGAGTACAGCGGTGATGGACAATGCCGGAGAAGGCCACATGCGCTGGCTGCAGCGTATTATGTGCGAGCATATCGCCAGCTCGCCGGAAAAGTATGTTAATGTGTTGGATTGACATAGCCATAGACTGATATGTTTCTTGTAGTGAGATTTCAGTGTTTAAGAGGCACGTTGAGCAGCGCGAGCGGCTGCTGAATGAGCTCGCTGCTTGTGCCAAACGACTGGCGGATAGGAGCGCTGCTATGGCCATGGATGTGAGCACATTGCATGCTCTCTTCGCGGGTTGGCAATTGGCTGAGACTGGCGCAGAGACGCGGAATGATGGCCCACTCGTAGCTCTGCTCGATAAGTCCAGTATGTGCTGAGGCCGTATAGTTGCGTATTTCAAGAGCTAACCATAGTTCTGTGGTTGTATCAGCGGCGACAATCAGCGGATGGAGCCAAGTCGAGTGCTTCCAGCCTGCGATATACGAGCTTTTGCTACTTGAAAACATTAAGTACATGCTCAGCCAAGCGACAGCAATGAAGCAGATGCTGATGGAGCGAGAACGCGCCGTAGCGGGTGAGTCGTCGCCTTCTCCACCGCAAACGGTATCTCCATCATCTCCACCGACGTCCGGCTTCTCCGTGGCGTCGTTCACGTCTGCAGCGTCGAGATTCATGAGCGCAGTGGAGCCACCGTCTCTAAGTATTGAAGAGCAGCAACGTCGTGCACACCACATCAGCGAGCTCATTACACGAGCTTTAATGGCCGAAGAGATGCAGCGTTTCCGAGTTGAGACGACGAAGGAACTGGAAAACATCATGAACCATTTCTCCTGCGCTGAGGCGCAGCTATCGAAACGATCGGGTTCTGTGTGGCGCGAATACCTTAAAACGACTCCAACTGACCCTCAAGCGCTGGCTCAAAGCACAAAGGAACTGCTCGACTCAGCTTCGACAACGTGCATTCCGTCATCACCTTCCGCTGCCGAGGCGTTTTGATGATCGTGCTGTGCTCACTGGACTGCGAATTACACGCTTTGGTAAAAGAATTTAGCTCATAAGGCCAGCAGGCTTACTTTATCTCACTTGCCGGCTGCTAGGACAAAACTTTACTTGTTAAGGATCTCGCGCATCGTCATAAATTTTGACGATGGTGGCAGGTTCGCATTTAATCTGCGTAATGGGGCACTTTCCGTGCTGTTCCAAGTGATGGTATATGCACATGTAACAGAACACGTAGCCTGAAAGTGTCATAGCAGGATTCACACGCTTCTTCTTGCATAGCGGACAAAGTGTGGAGTCCATGG